TTTTTTGGGATGGAGTTTCGCTCTTGTTGCCCAGGCTGTAGTGCAATGGCACAATCTCAGCTTATCACAACCTCTGCCTCCTGGGTTCAAGTGATTCTCCTGCCTTAGCCTCCCGAGTAGCTGGGATTACAGGCATGCACTGCCATGCCTGGCTGATATTGTATTTTTAGTACAGATGGGGTTTTTCTGTGTTGGTCAGGCTGGTCTCGATCTCCCGACCTCAGGTAATTTACCCACCTCAGCTCCCAAACTGGTGGGCTTACAGGCATGAGCCACCACGCCTGGCCGCTGAGAGAGTTTTATTTTTGGATATAACCCCAAAAACACAGGCAAAAAAGCAAACATAAACAAATGGGATTATATCAAACTAAACAGCAATGAAAACAATCAGTACAGTAAAGAACCGGCAGAATGGTAGAAAATATTTGCAAACTATACATCCGATAAGAGATTAATATAAAAAATGTGTAGAGAACTCAATAGCAAGTATTATCATAAGTAAGTATGTAAGGTAATATCTATGTTAATTAGCTTGATTTAGCCATTCCACAATGTATACATGTTTCAAGACATTATGTTGTATATGATAAATATATAAAATTTTTGTCAATTAAACAGAACTGAGAACTAGCAAACTAATATGCAGTATAGAATCACTCTTACAGTTCTTTCTCTAGCTTTTCCTTCTTTCCTCAGTATCTGTAATAAGCTGATGCTAAAGAACTAAGCCAACAACTCTCATTTGAATCCTAGGCGAAATACTGGAGCACTAACGCCCATGAGATTGAAGGCACAGTGTTTGACAGGAGTGGAAAAGCAGTGCATCGGCTGTTTGGGAAATGGCATGAAAGCATCTACTGCGGCGGCTCCTCCTCTTCTGCTTGTGTATGGAGAGCAAGTGAGTGTCTGGGTTTGTGGACCCCAGGCTGTGAGTGGGTGGATGGGCAGGCATGGCAAAAGAAGCCACACAGGACAGGACTGGTGTCTGTTCAGCGTCTCCAGCCTCTTCTGCTTTTAACTAGGCTAGAGGTGTTGGCTGTCTTTCCTTTATCCAGTTTTCATCTCCTTGTCATGCTTACTTATAGCAACACCTTGTTGGGCTGCTGGGTCCCGGTTCTTAACCCCAGGACAAGCATTGCTAATCAGTGGGCATTCTCTGAGGGAATCTTCCAGTCCACGTGCATAACTGTACTGGGCACTATGAAAGAATATCAGTGAAATGCAAGAAGTCATTCTACAGCACGGACAAAGAGGAAAGTGTTCCCGGAAAAGCAGTGAGCCAGGAGATCTACAGAAGTTAGCTATCCCTGGCTGGCCTAACCTCAGAAACCGTCCTCGTCACTCCTGTGATTCCAGAAGGGTGCTGAGCTCTTGGAGCAGATGGGGACAGAAGAGCTAGGGAACCCCAGCATTTATCAGGATGTCCCCGCCACATTTTAACGTCTTATTCCATCTTCTAAGTCAGAAAATTATGTTGTTTCCGAGTCACAGCCATATTGTAACGCCAGTGGTCTGAGATAGACCTGTTAGGGTACTATAGGCAGGTAAAAACCAAACAGAAACCTTCGACTTGTGGCTTAAACCATTAGGCTGTGTGCTATTACATAACAATAAGTGAGGCAGCCGGTGGCCCCAGGGGTATTACGTAGGCAACTTACCTGTGTCAAGGACACACATAGCAGTGAAGATACATTCTGCTACCCCCAGTGCGCTGTGATGTCTCCCCGATGGATGAAAAATGGTTGTTAGCATTCAGTGTCATACCTCTGCGTGACAGCATACCAACCATGTAACGAGAGGACAAAAGAGCCCTTTTCTCCTGTGCCTCTTTTTTTCTCAGGAATATTTTCTAAGATCCCCCAGCAAATGGAACTTTACATCACATCAGCCTGCAGTGGGTTCAGACCCATCTATGAACCAGTCATGGGCAACAGGGTAGGCAGAAGAGATTCAAATGTCTTAGATTCATCCCCAGTAAGGGCACAATGCCACTTGAACAGAATCAGTATTCTGTTAGCAAGCAAGAAAGAGAAATGATGGTCAAGTAGGCAGCCGACAGTGGTTCTTTCAATGGGTAGCTGCCACATCTCCCACTGTTGTAGAGGTTGCCATGAAGCTAGAAGGAATTTGCGCTGGTGGAAGCCTTGCTAGCTTCAGAGGCACTATGAGGTTTTGCAAATGGCACAGTCTCTCTCCTTTGCTTAAAGTATGCATCACAGATGAGAACTACCATCCTGTCTCAGTGTTCAAGTACTACCTTGATAAAGCAATATTGTTTAAATTTTTGTTCCTGTCATTATACCTTTACTTTATGTCTCTCTGTTGGCAGTGAGCATCCCTGGCCCATCTTTAAGAATAAGCACCATCTTCACTCCCTGGTGGCTGGGGAGTGACCAAGACCCATAGGAAACTTTGCTACTGTTTTTATGCTTAGGATACACAGAGAATTTAGACTAGTTACATGGAGGACTTCTGAAGATTCAAAAAACGGATCCCAGCTGGGCATGGTGGCTCGTGCCTGTAATCTCAGCATTTTGGGAGGCCAAGTGGGCAGATTGCTTAAGGCCAGGAGTTCAAGACCACCCTGGACAACATGGCAAAATCTTGTCTACTAAAAATACAAAAATCAGCCAGGCATGGTGATGTGCACCTCATGTAGTCCCAGCTACACGAGAGGCTGAGGCATGAGAATCACTTGAACTCTGGAAGTAGAGTTGCAGTGAGCCGAGATCGTGTCACTGCACTCCAACCTGGGTGACAGAATAAGACCCTTTTGAGAAAAAAAGTGCAGGGGGAGTGGTCTGCCGAAGAGTTGTTGGAAAGCATTTAGGCTATGAGTGGATCTCAGTCTACATTCGATTTACACAATATATCAATTTCAGTATGTTTAGCTTGAAAAGCTGGAATTCCAGTTAGGGCAATGCACCTAATGTTTTAAAGATGTAAGGTTGCGGGGAGGCAAGAATTGGTAAAACGGACAGGAATGAAAGAAAAGAATAACATTGATTAACTACTTGCTGTGTATTCAGCACCATTCTAGGTACTAAAAAGAGTCAGGATAATTTGACATCACTTAAATAAAATCGGATTCTCTAGAGTGAGAATCAGGAAAAATGGACCCAGAGCTTATATTTACATGTTTGTTTATTATTATCATTTATTTATTTATTTACTTTTGAGATGGAATTTCGCCCTGTTGCCCAGGCTGGAGTACAGTGGCACAATCTCAGCTCACTGTAACCTCTGCCTCCCAGGTTCAAGTGATGCTCCTGCCTCAGCCTACATAGTAGCTGGGATTATAGGCACCTGCTACCACGCCCGGCTATTTTTTGTATTTTTAGTAGAGATGGGATTTCACCATGTTAGCCAGGATGGTCTCGAATTCCTGATCTCAGGTGATCCACCCGCCTCGGCCTCCCAAAGTGCTGAGATTACAGGTGAACCACCATGCCCAGCCTATTTATTATTAATATTATTATTAGTATTATTTTTTTTTGAGATGGAGGTTTACTCTTGTCACCCAGGCTGGAATGCAGTGGCGCGATCTTGGCTCACTGCAACGTCTGCCTCCCAGGTTCAAGTGATTCTCCTGCCTCAGTCTGATTATAGGCACCTGCTACCATGCCTGTCTAGTTTTTGTATTTTTAGTAGAGACAGGGTTTCACCATGTTGGCCACCTGGTCTCGAACTCCTAACCTCATGTGATCCACCCACCTCAGCCTCCCAAAATGCTGGGATTACAGGCATGAGCCACCATGCCTGGTCTATCATGTTTATTTTAAAATCAAATTATTTTCATAGTTTAAGCACTACAGAAACTTCACAGCATTGTATAAATTTGCTATCTGACCACATATAGAAGGCCACATCCCTGTAGACAGAAGAAAAATTATAGAGAAGAAAATTTGTAGGGAAATTTTCAGCACCTGTTCGTTAGTCAGAATATTTTAACAGAAATGGAAAGGAGCTGAGAGATAAAAACTGTAGCTAGCCTGAGGTGAAAAGGTGAAGGAATTAAAATGTAACATAAATGACACACAAGTTAGGGGTGAATGATTTATTTTCTTCTTAGATCCCATGCCGAAAGGCTACGAGCAATACTATGGCTTCACACAGTTCGCGCTGGAATTAAATGAAATGGATCCATCGTCCAAGTCTTTATTGCCACCTACTGACACTCGATTTAGGCCAGACCAGAGGTAAGGATTCTTTAAAGATTTTTCTCTCCAGAGATTTAAAACCCTTTACAAAAAGTCTTATGAACAACCTTCAGGCTGCCAGAGGCACCTGAGAAAGATGGAAAATGCCATCAGGAGCTGAGAGGTAGGGGGGCTTTAAACAATTGTATCACGGAGGAGATGGGACCCAGCGAGACTCCAGGTGTGGCATGGCCTTTATTATCCATAAAGCCCCATTTCTACTGAAACACCAAAAAAGGTGTTTATATTGAAGAGTTTTACTGCATGCAGTAATAAAGAACTTAGTGTATTTGAAAGGGTAAAAAGCATCCCGCTCCCCTGAGCCCTCAAATTTAAATTATTTTAGTGCACTGAGATCTAACTGCCGATCCTAGGTTGCTGCTCACAAGCTGTGTAATACATGGTAGGTCTTTTAATCTTTCCCAGCCTCAATTTCATACTCTGTAAAATGGAAATAATAATGTCTCCCTTAAGGCCTTTCTAATTAAGGCTCAAAATCTAGAAGCCCAAGGAAAGAAAAGATTGCTACATTTGGCTTTATTAAAAATAACACTTTGGGAGGGCCAGGCAGGCGGATCACTTGAAGTCAGGAATTCGAGACCAGCCTGGCCAATATGGTGAAACTGCATCCCTACTGAAAATACAAAAATTAGCCAGGCATGGTGGCACATGCCTATAGTTCCAGCTACGTGGGAGACTGAGGCACGAGAATCGCTTAAACCCAGGAGGAAGTGGCTGCAGTGAGCCGAGATCACGCCATTGCACTCCAGCCTGGGTGTCGCAGTGAGACTCTGCCCCCCAAAAAAACAAACAAACATAAGCTCTTCTTTGTGACAAAATAAATAAAACTATATAAGGTCAGAAGATAAATGACAAATGGAGAAGTCCGTGTCCGCAACTTGTATCATGAATTGCCTCTAGAAATTTAATAATAGATCAACCCCTTAGAAAAAATGAACATACGAAGGTAAATTTGTTTTGCAGGAATTGAACACTATTGTTAGCAAGTACGTAAAAAAGATGTGAAACAGTTTATATATGTCAACTGTAACAGTATGTCCCAAACGGGCACATCCTCCTAATAATTTTGTTTTAAAGAAAGCCATATGTAGAATGCTTCAAGCTATCTTGCTGTGCACATTATGCTTGTACTGTTTTGTGCAGTTTATCTGCTTTTTTAGGGAATTTTTTTTGTATAAAATCTATTACAGTTGTGTTTCTTAAATTGAGCCTAAGGATGGAGTTAACTGGAAATATACAGTATGTATTAATAATGTATGTGGTGCTTAAAGAATGGTAAGCATTGTTAATTTCTGTAATGAATGTTGTCAATTAAATTATCTTAAGTTTGTGTTTAAAAGAAAAAGGGAAAATAAACAGTCCACAAAATAGGAAATGCAGATATCCCTTAAACATGTGAAAAGATGCTCAGTCTTAGTCATAATAAGAAAAATGCAAATTTAAAAAGTCATGTCAACATCCCATTTTTTAGCCTATCTGATTGGCAAAAATTCAGAAGTTTTATATACTCTGAGTTTATGGGAGAAAAGGGCACTCTCAATATTGCTGATGGGAATGTAAATTGCTATAATCCCTATAAAGTGCAGTTCAGTAATATATAAATTACATACTCACCCTTTTACCCAGCAATTTCACTTCTAGATATTTCTCCTACAGATTTTTCCTGCTTACTCATATATTATGATGGATATACAGGGTCATTAATTGTCACATTAAAAAAATTGGGAACAATTCAAATGTCTATCCATAGGGAATTGTCTAAATAAATTCAGATACATCCACACAACTGGATATTATGTGACTATCAAAAAATGAAAATGTCTATGTATATCCACGGAAAGATCTCTAAGATAAATTGTTAAAAAGTAAAGCAAAACAGGAAATCAAAGGATAAATAGCATGCTACCATTTATATGTTTTAAATGGAGGGAGGGGTAAGAGTATGTATCAATATTTGTTGATACACACATGAAGAATCTCTAGAAGGATGCAAAGGAAACTAGTAACTGGGTTTCCTAGGGCGGGAGGGTGAAGGTGGCTGGAGTTAGAGACAAGGAAGAAAAGAAGACTTTGCTTTAAATTCTTTTTTGTTGATAGAATTTTTGAATCATGTAAATATCGCCAATTCAAAAAATCTCTATTTCAAAATACTAATTAAAGGGTTGGGGGCGGGGTCTTACATATAGGAGAGGATTTTGAATATCCAGTTGTGGACACATGGGGTGTTGAGTAGTAATGATTATTTTGTTTTCTTGAATTCATATCCTTTAATTTTTTTACCCTCAATGCCTCAGGTGTCTAGAGGAAGGGAACTTAGAAGAAGCTGAAATACAAAAGCAGAGGGTGGAACAGCTACAGAGAGAAAGGCGGCGGGTCTTAGAAGAAAATCACGTGGAGCACCAGCCTCGGTTTTTCAGGTTTGTGCCTGGATTGAGTAGGTTTTTGGTTGATAGGTGATGCCAACACGTTATGCTTCTGGTTTGCAGAAAGTGAACAGTACTGTGCCTTCCCCAGATGAGAACATTCTCCTTGCTTTTCCTGCTTCCGCCTGGGGAGACTGCTCCTCTGTGCCAGGGCCATCTTCCCTGACACTTCCCTTCAGGCTCTCCCTCTTGCTGACCTCAGGCAGGAATAGGGCCTGCGGTTTTTGCATTCTTTGAGCTTTCCCAGTGCCTCAACCAGTGAGTTTACAGAGGAGGTTCTCAGTACAGGGAGCCTGCCAGAGCTGGGTCCCAGCGCAAGGCCAGCTTATTGAATTCACAGCTAAGGTTGGTCACTCACATAGGCACAGTTTACACCATGACAGAGATCATTGATGATCACTCCACAGTTAAGCAGTATGGAAATCCCAAGCAGTCTGTTTCTTGCATTGTAGAAGTCCCAGTACACCTGGGCTTGCATTTGGAACATTTACAGTTATTTTTAAAATAACTTGCCAGGAAGGTCTTGTTAAGATAGATTGAAATTTTTAAAGAAGGTATGAGAGATCCACCTTTCACCTCCCTATCTCCTCTTTTAACTGAGTAGAAGCAAAAGCCCAAGGCACTAAGGGGATCTATTGAAGGACTTAGTGGAATGCCCCCGGCTGGGGCCTGACTCTCCTCACTACCAGCCAGGGCCTAAATGGTTTTAGTTTTTCTGTTTGTTCTTCTTTTAAAAAAGTTAAATAGGCATATGTAGAAAGCAGCAAGTTCCTGCTGTGCTCCACCCGCCCAGGTCCTCCTTCCCGGGCCATCACCTCTTCACTGTTTTAGGATGCTTTTTTGTTTGTGTTTGTGTTTGTTTTCATTGGACGACAGAAGTACTTTGGGGAGGATTCAGTTACTAGTAACAGCAGCAGTAATACAATATGTATTCCAAAACATCAAGATAGTAACAAGTAAGGGTTTGTCTCGAGAATATCATGCTCTTTTCCCTAAAGTTGATGTAGATTCTACTAGATGCCTTCGGATCATTTCCACAAATTCAGGTTATTAGTGATTGAAAATCAACTGGCCAAAATTTCATCCCGAAATATTCAAACTTCATTTAAACATTTAAAGAATAAGATGGAAATGTTATGTTCTTTTTTGAAAAAGGCAAGAAATAGAAAAATGGATAGATTAACAGACTAATCCATTGATTCACTGATCAGTTGATAGGTAAGCACATAACATACACCTGTAAGTAGGTTGGTTCTTTTTCTCCCATACCTTGTCTAGTTTCATTTTTTTAAAAAGAAAAACCTACAATTATAAAACTGTTCATTACAGTACTTTCTAGGATCATTAAAAATGGTAGGTAACTAAAGTGTCTCAAGGACTCGTTAAGGAGATTCACCAACTTGATCCAGCATGAGGCATTAAGGATGACCTTCCAAAGCCTGCGGAGCTCTACAGGCTAAATGCAAGATACAGAACGTGGTTATGCTGTCATTGCAATCAGGAAGGAATTATGTCTGGAATGGAAAAGGATGGAGAGCCGCTTCAGCTGGGGCAGCCATCACTCTTTTTCTTATTGACTGTCTATAAAATAATGATAGCATTAGACGGGGAAATTTTTTTAAATTGGAGAAGAAGCGAGAGTTGTTCAGCGGTAGCGGTCTTCCTTGGAACTGTTGAAATGAGAAACCTGGCAAAGAGATTTTGGAGAGGAATATGGGGACTTGGATGTTGTCATTAATACTTACTGAGGAACAACAACAAAATCACTGAAAATTCTGAGTGGAAGCTGGAGCTCAGACCAAATTGAGCCTCTTTATTTTAGAATAGTGAACAGTCTGATACACAGACTGACTCATTTTTAAACACATCCCATTACCGGAACAGGGAAGCAGGTGTGATTAAAAACCTACATTCCTGAGAGCGTGGGAAAACAGGCACTCTCCACTTTTGCTTCTAAAACGTATGGTAATATCAGTCACCATCACAAATGCACATACTCTTTGACCCAGCCATGCTAATTACAGGGATTTCTAATGTAACTACACTCACATACTTACAAAATAACATATGCTGAGCTACAGTTTAAAAATAACCTAAGTACCCATCAGTAGGGTACCTATTAGGTAAATTGTGGTCCGTCCATACAATGGAATATCATACAACTGTATAAAAAGAAAATGAGGAATCCCTTAATGCCGGAATCACCAAACTTTTCCTATGAAGAACAAATGATAAATATTGTTGGTTTTGTGGGCATTCAGGTTTTAGTAGCAGTTATGCAGCCCAGCTGTTCAGCATTGAAAGCAGCCATAAACAATATTTAAACAAATGGACATGCCTATGTTCCAATAAAACAGTATTTCAGAGATAGGCAGAAGGCTGGATTTGACCCTTGGGCCATAGTTTGCCGACCCTTGCCTTATTATACTAATCGGAAATGATCTCCAATATGTTTCATTATGTCAAAGCTGGAAGGATAGAAAAGTGTCTGGTACAATATTATGTCACAATGAGAGGGGATAGAGTGTGTGTGTTCCTGCACACGTGGACACACACACACATGGAATTTCCCTGAAAGAATGAAGCTGACAACATCCCTACCTCTGAGGAGAAGAATCAGGAGTCTAGGAGAGATGGGGAAGAGAAAAACTTGAAGCAGTATATCCTTTTGTGCTCTTTGAATTTTGGTCTATGTCATATATTCTCTATATATAATATAAAGAACAGAAAATCAGGACTAATCTCTCCAGACACTGTGGCTTCCAATCCTTTTTTTCTGTTTTGTTTTGTTTGATGTTAACCACTTCCTATGCACAGCCTCGTTGATGTGTAGCTTTTGTGCAGTCATTCACAAGGTGGTGACAGTCATGCAAGTCATGTTTTGTATCCGACAGACTCTCCCCACATCCTCCTTCTCTCAGAAGCACCACTTTTCACAGACTCTAACTTTAAGAAGTCAAAGTCAAGAGTAACAAAATAGGCCAGGCACGGTGCCTCATGCTTGTAATCCCAGCTCTTTGGGAGGCCAAGGCAGGTGGATCCCCTGAGGCTAGGAGTTCGAAACCAGCCTACCCAACATGTTGAAACTCTGATTCTACTAAAAATACAAAATTAGTTGGGCATGGTTACACATTGTTGTAGTTCCAGCTACTCGGGAGGCAGAGGAATCGCTTGAACCTGGGAAGCAGAGGTTGCAGTGAGCCAAGATCACACCACTACACTCCAGCCTGGGCGACAGAGCAAGACTCCGTCTTGAAAAAAAAAAAAAAAAAAAAAAAAGCGGGAGAGTAACAAAATGATTTCCAGATTTCCATTTCCCAGAATTTCCAGTCCCAACACTGGGATGCTGAATGCATGTGGGAATGAGGATGGGGAGAGCAAGGAGGTTAGGAAAGAAAGAGACTTGAGAATATGATGCTGGTTTTGAGTCTGCAAGAAATTGTTTCCTCTTTGACAGGAAATCCATCGATGACTCTTGGGTGAGCAACGGCACCTATTTGGAACTTAGAAAAGATCTTGGTTTTTCCAAACTGGACCATCCTGTCTTGTGGTGAAAAAGTAAAGAAGAAAGATAACGTTAGTGTATTTCTCCTGTGTTTGCTTCCTGAAGCTGCACAAACCTGTGTTTATGTATTTAAAAGATACTCTAGGATGATCACTTATGCTTAGCTTAGCATTGTAACTATTTAAGTCTATATTTTCCTCAATGAGTTTCTTTACAATTTCAAATGTTACCCTGATTGTTTATATGAATGTAGAACACCTTGATATTTCTTTTTATATGTAAACTAATAAAAATGAGAGATTGAATGTTCATGTGTGGGTTAAAAAAAAGAAGCTTTAACACTAATTTTCCAAAGGTTAGGGAAGCTTCCAATTAAATTTATGCCTTATAAAATTACGTTGTAGGAAAAAAAATCAACCTCTTCCAGGTGCATTAAGAAATAAGAATACCCAGGGTTACTCAACCACGCATAAGCTACCGAAGTTTAATTCGGTAGCTGAGATATCTTTTTGCCTCAGACAGCTCTTGAATTGCTCATACAGAACAATTCTGCTGGTGCTGGAGTCTGAAGAATATTTTCATTTGCATTTTAGTGGTTAGGGAGAGGATGTAAGATTAATGGAATGTATATTTTTGTATAAGATGAATATGGCACCTTCTTGAAGAGGAAGCATTTGAACTTGTTTCTCCCTATAGTTCTGTTGCCTTAAATGCAAAAGCGTACCCTCTTGCTCAGAGAAACTGTCGTTAATAAGAGAAAAAAAATTCAATTAATTAAAAATTGTAATAGCATCCCAGAGAGACAGTAGGAAATTTCTCCTCAGTGGGAGCTGAATCCTTGAGAGGTTAAGAGACCGTTTCCTGCTTCCCACCCCACCCCTAGTTTTTTGACCCTCTGTTTGATCACATCCCTGTTGAGTATAGAATGTCCCAGTTTAATATAAAACATGTAGTTTATTCCACACAGCAGTTTGACTTTGTAAAAGTTTAGCAAAATAATTGTTTCGAATAACTCAACATGTTTTTCTTAAATGCTGTTTCAGTATTTTCTACCTCTTAATAAGCACCATATTTTAGATCTTGTATAAAAAGTTTGCCATCTGCCTTATAGACAAATGTAGAGAATTGATGTTCTTGCTTTGTGTTGTGTTCTGGCAAAGCTTTAAGTAAGTGTCTTACCCCTTTCCTATACTTTCTTGTTATCCATATCACTCTTTTGTGAGTTTTGCAGCAGTCTTGAATAATACAAATTATAACTATTGAAAGGGGAAACTTTGTCTTCTTAAATGTGTTATTTCAATTTACAATAATATAATTTGTGTAGTAGTTGAATTGTGTTATCAAAGCAATTCCACCTTCTGCCCGGATGACATTAAAACCAAAGCCTAATTGTTAAGCCTTTTATTCTCAAGTCGATAGCAGTCCTATGGAATATCAAGTATAATGATGTGGTCTAAAGATTTCTCCAGAAAACACTTTTAGATCCTTACATTCAGAGCATGTCAAATGTTATGAATGAAGGGTAAAATAATTACAGGAAAAGAATGCATGATTTTTCATTGTCACACCAAATAACCAGTTGGACAATATTGCATTTTCAAAATGGAGAGTTATTTAAAGTGGATCTGTAGCCTTCTGGAATCCACGCGTGACTGGCATTTTAAAACAACTCATTAAATATGGGATTCATTTTATTGAGATGCCAAGATGAGCACAATATGAGTATCATTTCCATTTCTAAGCAGTTGAATGACACAGTCAGATTCTTTGGTGTGTGCTTTGTTCTTTTCATTGCAAGCATTTATCCAAATTCTGCTCACAGACATGAGGAAGCAGGCTGAGATTGAAGAGCACTCAAGGGGAAAACAAATGTAGTTTCCACAATGTGTGGGTAAATGTAGAATCTTAGTAATATTGGCTGTTAAATTGGCCTGCTCCAGAGACTGGCTCAAAAAAGAAAGAAGCAACAAAAACAAAATGTACAGCCTGCAGGGATGTAGCGTTGTCATGTGGCATTTGGAAATTCTTTAATTATCCTAATGTTATTATTTCAGTTGCTCTTATGCTTTATTTTAGAATCCCAAGGACAACAGGACTAAGTATCACCTCTCTAGTCATCTTATTTGAGATGAGGGTGGGGATGAATTAAAATATGATACAGAACTATGTGCAGCTTTTAAAATCTAACTAGTCAGTACTAGCATCTATAAAGGGCTTTTCTTAAACAGGTTGGTGATGCATCCTCATATTATAAGCTTAAAACTATTTTGAAAGGGAAATGGCTTCCTTTTTCCTTCTGTCCCTTTTCTGAAAATCGTCTAGAGACACCAAATATGTGTCTCTAGGACAGTTTATAGTTTTAAGAGAAAGAAACAGAAATGTGGCATCATTTGGGAAGAACCAATGTACAATTTAATTTTCTGGAATTTAAATCTCCTGGTTAAATAATACTAATCACTGTCCCATTTGAGTTACTTGTTTTAACCTCTTTTTTTTTTTTTCCTACTTATTCCATCCAAAATTTCTGGTGAAATACACAGAAATTCTTGGAAATGGGACTTTGTGCAGGTAACCACCACCCTGCACCTTAGGTGATGTTCCTGTTATAGCTATCTACTACCCCACACTGCAGGAAATCCATTCAGAAATGAGCTAACAGTCTCCAGTGTAGCAGGAGAGCCAATCAGTTTCCTCCCCAGGCCCCTGAGCACCCCACGGCTGGTATTCCCTTGAGTCATAGGTATGTATTAATAATAAAAGCCTCAATGCAGCTTCTCCATGTAGTTCCTCTCCTAAAGCCAGGTGGATTCTGGTCCTAACTAAAGAGATGGGAGTTCACTTGAGGGCAGGAAGAGCCCAGGGTGCCCTAACAGCCCCACAGTTGTCTTGTGCTTCCTGTGAGACTCCCTGGGGAGGAATATTCAAACTAATATTTTGTAAATGTTTACTTCATTTAGGCTGCTTCTCTTCTCATGTTCTGCTTTAATTACTTGCAGTAAGTCGTTTGCTTGGGCTTCAAGCACTGTCCTCATTCTCCATCTTCCAGATTTATCATGAGTGATCTTGTTCTACTGTTAATGATGTCAAGCCTAAAAAAAAAATAATAAATTATTTGGCTGTTGAACTTCGATGTAGGCCTACTACATACACTATAAGTTATGCCTTCTGGCTATCATAGAATCTCCACAGACCTTTTAGTTATAAGTAGAAGCAATAAGAAGTTGTCCTTATGATCTTAGGCATAATAGTTCCAATGTATTGGCATAATTGGTTTGAATGTCTTTGATTTTGATGTTAACATCAGCATAAATCTATTTTTGCTACCAGATGATAGCTATTTCATTTGCTCAGTTTTCCTCTGCATTGTAGTAATTATCTGTTATGAGTGTTAGTCTTCACTATTCTGTGTTGGAAACCTGTGTCATGTAAATATCTGCAAATCATGACAGTCTGAAGTGCAAACCATTTTCAGAGACTTTGGTTTGGGGAATGCAATGATCAGAAGTGGCTAATTTATTTTATTTCTGATTATTTTATCCAGAGGATACTTTTTTAATGGATATTTGTAAATCTTCCACTTAACCATTGAAAATTATTTTCTGTTTTAATCCCACCCTTCCATCGATACCTATGTGCCTCCCAGAAAGCTCCTATTAATTTGCATATCCCCCTCATGTAGCTAGTTGAATGTGAATAAATAACGTGGAAAAAAGGCTACTTTTGTCTTTGTTTTTCCAGGTTAGTGGGTTTATGTGACTGCTGAAAGGGAACAGAATAGGACCCTTGCCTGGACTCTTTCAAGGAGGATCACATCAGGTTAATGAAAGTGATGGGGGTTGGAAATAAGAATATCCCAGGCCACAAAATACTTGGAAACCATAATATCACCAGACTTTTTCTCCTAACATTCCAAGGCACACCACAATTGTAGATCCCCCTCAGCCCTTGGAAGAGAGAACTGAGGCAACTGGAGCCCCAGGCAGGATACCTCCAGCCCCAGGAGACCCTCTGTTGATTCCAGTGTGCTATGAAAATATTACAGTTGACTCTTGAACAATACAGGGACTAGGGTGCCAATACCCCATGCAGTTGAAATCCATGTATAACTTTTGACTCCTCCAAATCTTCCCTACTGTTGGCTCACTGTTGACCAGAAGCCTTCCCAATAACACAGTTAACACATCTGTTGTATGATATGTGTATTATAGACTGTATTCTTATAGTAAATTAACGTAGAGAAAAAAACGTTATGAAGGAAATCATTAAGAAGATAAAATACGCCGGGCACGATGGCTCATGCCTGTAATCTCAGCACTTTGGGAGGCTGAGGTGGGCAGATCACCTGAGGTCAGAAGTTCGAGACTAGCCTGAGCAATATGGTGAAACCCCGTCTTTAAAATAAAAAATAAAGAAGATAAAATACATATACTGATACTAAGTGGAAGTGGGTCACAATAAAGGTCTTTGTCCTCATCGTCTTCACGTTGAGTAGGCTAAGGAGGAGAAGGAAGAGGAGGGGTCGCTCTTGTTTTTCAGGGGTGGCACAGGCAGAAGAAAATTTGAGTACAATTGGACCAATACAGCTCAAACCCATGTTGTTCATGGGCGTGTGTGTGTGTGTGTGTGTGTGTGTGTGTGTGTGTGTGTGTGTCCTAATGTGAAACAGGAAAATGCTGACGACTAAACCAACACAATCGTCCTTATGAATAATTAACTCATCTCTCATACCCGAGTTGTGCCTTTTGCAATACCAGGAACACCCTTAGCACTCTCTAAAATTCCATTTGCTTCCGTTGATATATTAATGGTGTTACACAATGCACTAGAATGCAGAGTTACTGACATAAAGTCACGTCTCTGCATCCCTGAAAACAAAGAGATATCCAAAAGCAATTCATGAACCTTGATTGGATCCTGGCTTAAAAGGAAAAATAAGCTATAAAAGATATTTGGATAACAATCAGTAGAATTTGCATATAAACATAATAATGAAATTATTGCCAATTTCCCTATGCATATTGTGATATTGTGTGTTGAACTGAATCAACTCTGCCCTTAAAGGAGGATAGTTTTTCACCATTATTTAAAATAATGTGTTAGGGGCACTAAAGAATATCTTTAAAGGCAGCCTCAGAATATTTTAACATGTTGGCATTGAAACATCCTAAGCTAGGCCAGGCATGGTGGCTCAAGCCTGTAATCCCAGCACTTTGGGAGGCCGAGGCGGGTGGATCACCAGGTCAAGAGATCGAGACCATCCTGGTCAACATGGTGAAACCCCGTCTCTACTAAAAATACAAAAAATTAGCTGGGCATGGTGATGCGTGCCTGTAATCCCAGCTACTCAGGAGATTGAGGCAGGAGAATTGCCTGAACCCAGGAGGCGGAGGTTGCAGTGAGCCGAGATCGCGCCATTGCACTCCAGCCTGGGTAACATGAGTGAAACGCCGTCTCAAAAAAAAAAAAAGAAAAGAAACATCCTAAGCTGTCAGCTTTGAGAAGGCAATACAATTTGGAGGCATAAGTTCCAAGCCATTAGTTTAGAAATTTAGTCAGATTATTTTCTAATCATACCAGTGAAGTACCAACATTATCACAGTTAATGTCCGTCAGTGATTAGCACATCAGGACATCACTGACAGCAGTAAAGAATTTCTTTTTATGGGCTTATTCGTTGGGGTCCCTGCAGGAAACAGAATCCAACTCAGATGGTTTGAGAGTCTTATATGAAGGGACTACTTACAGGGCTGTGAGCAGGCTGAAGTCACTGAGAGATTAGCAACATGGGAAGTGGGTGCTGCCCCAGCAGTAGCTGGAGCTCCTGAGGAGTGACATGAAGCATCTGCCAGAAAAATTCAGCCCAGGGTAAGAAAGAACTATCCCAGCCTCTGTCTCCTCGGGGTGCCGCTCTCCTCGCAGTGCCCCCTAGTGGCTGAACCTGTGAGAGCCCCAGGGTGCAGTTCTTGGGGCTCAGTGCATGGGGCAGGGGAAGAGCCATGGCAAATAGAAAAATAAGCCCCTTATATTTATCAGAATAGTTCATGTCTGAGTATTTGGAGGCATTTTTAGTAAATAGATATAATTTGTTCAGTGTTTTCAGCTCCCATTTATTTTACCAAGGTCGAATTATGATCAGCTGTGCTTTAAAAAAAAAACCCTGGCCGGGCGCAGTGGCTCACGCCTATAATCCCAGCACTTTGGGAGGCCGCGACGGGTGGATCATGCGGTCAAGAGATCGAGACCATCCTGGTCAACATGGTGAAACCCCGTCTCTACTATAAATACAAAAATTAGCTGGGCATGGTGGCGCGTGCCTGTAGTCCCAGCTACTCGGGAGGCTGAGGCAGGAGAACTGCTTGAACCCAGGAGGCGGAGGTTGCGGTGAGCTGAGATTGTGCCATTGCACTCCAGCCTGGGTAACAAAGAGCCAAACTCCGTCTAAAAAGCAAACAAACAAACAAAAAAACCCTTTGGGCCGGGTGTGGTGGCTCACACCTGTAATCCCAGCATTTTGGGAGGTCGAGGTGGGCGGATCACGAGGTCAGGAGTTCGAGGCCAACCTGGCTAACATGGTGAGACCCCATCTCTACTAAAAATACAAAAATTAGCCAGGTGTGGTGGTATGTGCCTGTAATCCCAGCTACTCAGTAGGCTGAGGCAGGAGAATCGCTTGAACCCAGTAGGTACAAGTTGCAGTGAGCCGAGATCCTACTGCACCCAGCTTTGGCAACAGTGCGAGACTTGGTCTCAAAAAAAAAAAAAAAAAAAAGTTCTTTGGTTCTCCATGATATTATTACTGTTGTAATGGCTTTAATGAGCCAAGAGCATGCTGTCTTCTTTATTAACTGCTGTAATTTAAACAAATATCAGACTGGAAAGGTATATTGATGTAAGCAGTGATTCTCAGATTTGGCTAATGTCCTGGTGGTAATTTACACCCACCCACCACTGCCACCACAACCACCAAGTCCCGCCAGGTAATTCAGACTCAGATAGCCCCACACAGTTTGTGAATCAGTGTCTGATCAGCACATAGCTAGGACACCACCTTCTAATTTCATGATTGTTCTAGGGCCTCAAAAATGGCATGTGGTTTACAACGATGTGCTTATTTTCATTGAGTTTCATTTATTGCTTTTGTACTGTCTTTGAAATTTATGTGTAGGGGCCATGTTTCCTCCTTCCCCTGTGATGCCTGGTGGATACATGTGAGAGGACTTGGCAGCCAGCATGACTCATGGTTCCTCTCCATGCTAAATAAGCCACAAGGCAGCTGCCCAACTTAAGTCACAATGAAATTTTTGATGTGTCACAATATCTGGTGTTTTCTCAGCCCAGAGGCATGATACAAAGGTCGGAGAGTAGATGCCAGCAGCACTTAGCTGGTTAAGGGGAGCAGAGGAGGCCAAGGAAACCATGCCCAAGGACCTCAGCTCTTCCCTGTGCCACAGATTGCATAAGCCACCACCTCCAGTGCTCCTGCCACATCCAAATGCAGTCTTAGGGAGGAACAGTGAGACCAAAGCCCAAGGAATTAAGAGAGAGGTCATCTCTCCAAAAGTGACTATGCATTACCACAGCAGACTGTCTACATGATCAGATTAGGCTGCTTTTTTATTATGATGAAATATACATAAATGCATAACAACTTTTAAGTATACAGTTCAGCAGATTCAACATTGTCGTGCATCCATCACCACTGTCCACCTCCAAAACTTTTTCACCATCCCAAACAGAAACTCCATACCCATTTAGACTAAAGTTTAAAGTTCCAACTTCAGTTAACTTTAACTTGCTCACCAATATGTGACGGGGTCATGAGGACCAGGTCAGTTATTGACAAGATGACAGAATATTTTTCTCACTTAAGTTGTAGTGTGAGTTGCAGTTTTGCAACCCCCCTCCAAAAGCCTCACAACAACCCCATTTAGGCAATCCCGTTTGTCAGAAGCATTCACAAAGGATGGGAAGTGAAGCAACTTGACCAAACTCTCACAACTCATTGCTGGCAGTGAGGGGCTGTGAGTGTGTGTCTGCTGTGTTTCCAAGGGCACCTCCTTGTGCCACAACATGAGATGCCAACAGTGTGATTCCAATACCCCTTTCCCGTCCAAGTTTAAGTGTTTGTTCTTTAATCTTAATTCCAAAGTTTTCTTCGAGTCTTTGAAGCAGACACAGGCAACCCGGGGCACAAAAAAGAACCCTGGGATGGGATGGAAGTTGGGGAACCTACCTCCAGTAAGTGGGGAGACTTTGGGTAGGCCACTTACCCTCTGTAAACCTCATGTGCCCCAACAGCAGACGGACAGATGATCATGAAAGCTCTCCACTGCCACTCTGTGATCTCAAGAATAGGTAGAAATGTTTTTCAGTCAATCAACAACCATTCTTGAGCACCAGACATGTGCCAGACACAGCCCTGCCCTTACAGAGCTTACCTATAGATTGCAGGATCTGCCCTCAATTATTCTTTTCTTTTTAATCCTAAAAGTGGAAATTATTTGGCCATCTGGAAGAATTATATTGCATATGTATGTTGAGGGACTGTGAGATGGTAGAATCAATAGATTGCAGATAGCCATGGGGCTGAAGAATTGTTGGAGACAGCGAGAAGGAAGGAACTGGAAAGACAGCAAGTGGCAGCCCAAGACCGGGGTGCTTCACATGTTTAAAACAAGTGAATTATGGACTAAATATTGAAACCCCTTTATGTTAAA